TTATTTATAATAATTGCTGTAATTATATCCTAAATGCTGAAAGATTTATCTTTCTAGAAATGTATATATTTCATATAGACCTCTTTGTTAATATGTCTGTAGAAACAATTTTGTAAAGATGCGGCTGGAATTTGGTCACTTTACACTATAAATTTTAATTACAACGTTAACTCTTTTTACAATAACCTTTTCAGCACAATATACTCTATCTACAATGCCAATTTTCCATTTATTGAAAAAACAATCAATTCAAATAACTCATATAAACCTTGGATTACTAAAGAATTTAAAAAGTCATCAAAGCTTAAGCAAAAATTATATATAACGTATTTAAAAACAAGAATTTAAAAAGTAATTTATATGGTTATCAAATTCCAATGAAAATTCACAATACACTCTTTCTTTATTGACCTTTTAAAGGCATTTGATACAGTTGATCATACCATATTACTTCATAAACTTAAGTACTATGGAATAAATAACAGAGTAATAAAGTAATTTGAAAGTTGTTTATCAAACCGAAAACAATATGTTTCCTGTAATGATGTTTAAAAAAAAGGATTTATTACATATAACCTGTGGTATTCCGAAACGCTTTATCTTTTATAATTTATAGTAATGACTTAAAAAAAGTCTCAAATCTACTTAGTATTAAGAAATTAGGTTATTTTGCAAAATTTTGATTCGCTTTCTTCTTGGACTGTTTTTATAGCTAAACTTAAAAGTTTTATTCTTTCTGTAGACAATGTACTTATGTACTGCTAATGGTAACATTCTGAAATTGTTAACTTTCTATTATTACTAAGCAAATATTTTTGTTTATATTAAGTCATTTTACTTTTCTTATATATATATATATATATATTTTGTATTTGTCTATATTCTTTATAAAGTTTATTTTCTTTCATCATTGTTAAGAAGATTATTTATTTGTTTTATCTCGTTATTGTAAGAAATTTATTGATGCATTAAAAAAAACAGCTTATTTAGGGTTCTGATCAAGATTTTCGTGATCTTCTTTTAGTTACCTTGTTTATATAGTTTATCATTGTAATTTTGTGAAAGGTAATTGTTATTAGTGTTTTTTTATTATTATCACTATATAATTATACAACGACAAACTAATGTAAACAAACAAACAAAAAAATACCTACATTGTTTAACAACCAGATACTTTCCTTAGTTACAAAACCAAATACTTTCCTCAGTTACAGATAATTCGATTTTTGAATAATGATAATGGTGTGGCGATCACTGCCTTTTCCTAAGTTATTCATCTCACTGTGTAAGAGAAAGGGCTGTTTCCGTCCTATCCTACTTTTAATATTCTTTATAATTCTTCTATGCATAGATTTTTAAAAAATTGTACAAATGTAGCTCATAATCAGAGACGGATCCAGGAATTTTTGGTTTTTGAGATTGCTAACTTTCAGACGTAGAGCAAACTCCAAACTAAGAGATACTATGAAAATTAAAATTTATCGATGAATATGTCTAGTTGATAATAGAATAAAAAATATTTAATCAACTTGTTGCTCCTCACATTTGGAGTAGGGGAGGGGGATGAAACTAAAGAGCTTTTTTGTTCCCAGCCTCCAACAAACGTGATTTTTTGAAAAGTCTAATAAGTTGACATAAGTATAAACATATAAATGTTAAGAGTTCAAAGCAAATTTTACATTTTTATAAAAAAGATTTTATGAAGCAAATTTAGAAATTCATAAAAAGTTTTTGTAAAAAAAAAAGGGTTTTTAAATTTTAAATTTTAAATTTCTTAAAAAAAACATTTATAAGTAATGATTTAATAATAATGGTATTTTTGTTTTTTAATTAACACATACAGTGGAACAATTTCCATATTGAAAATATTTGTTTCACGTGTACACAACAAAATTATTTATCTTTAAAGAAAAGAAAATTTTTTAGCTTTAATGGTTGCGAGCACGACAAAAGACTGACGTCTTCGACCTGCAACATAACCCACGAAACGAACAGCTGATCTTCTGCACAGTCGGCATTAAGTAGTCCCAACATCACTGAAGCCAACCAGTTTAAAATTACCGTGTCAAAACTTATTTTTTCTTTTCGACCAGCTTTTTTGAGGTTTGAACCACTGTGAGACGTAACAAATTAAAAGAAACTAAGCTAATTTACGTTTTTCTTTTTTTATAAGGTGATAATGTTAACATGGCTACTAATAAAGTTCGTTTACATCACTGTATTTTATATGAATTTCAACAAGGAAGAAACGTTACAGAAGCATGTAGAAATTTCTTGAAAGTGTTTTGCGAAGTTACTGTCTCTAGTAAGATCATCGAGAACTTGTTGGAACAAGATCAATTTTCCGACAACATCGAGATTGCAGAAACACTGAATTCATCTCAGCAAACTATTTTGGACCATATTTGAAAGATAGGTTTAGAGTGGAAATATTTAAAATGGGTGCCACATGAATTATGTTTGAAGATTTTGGATAATCGAGTCTTTATATAGACAACTCTACTTGCTCTGTACAGAACCAAGTCATTCCTCAACAGAATGATAGCTGGGGTGAGAAATGGATTACTTACCAAAACATCGTAAGAAAAAGGACATATTGTAAAATCGGAAAGTTTAGCTCTTCCACATCTAATTAATATTTGATCCTAAATAAGAGAATGTTGGATATATGATGGAGCATTTAATGGCCAATACATTATGCGCTTTTAAAATAAGTGAAAAGCATAATTCGGATAAGTATTTTCAGCAACTGAATGTTTTAAAGAAAAAAACTCGAGAAAAAGACCGGCGATATTTAATAGGATTGACATCATGCTGCTTTAGGGATTCGTCAAAAAACTACAGAACTAGACTGGGAAATAGTTGCATCCACCATATTCCTAACAGGTGATAGTTTGAGGATTTAGCGCCTTTCAACCATCACTTTGTTTTTGTCCTCACAAAATTTCTTGAATGACAAGAAATTCGAAAACAAAGATATCAAAAAAGCACTGGTTAAATTTTTTAAATTTAAGGTAAAAACGTTTTTCATAAATGGAGTTTACAAACTACCATCTCGCTGGCAAGAAGTCATTGAAAATAATGTCAGTTATATTATTCAATAAAGTTTATAAATGATTTTACAAAAAACCTTCCTTAGACCTAATATGAAAAGCGGTCCGTGCAACGGTTAAACGTGTAAAGTGTTATCACATTTGAATGTTTTATTTCGAAAAGGAAGCAATTGCATTTGTTAAAACTTTTTAAAATCAATTTAAAAAAAAAAAGTTTTATAAAAAAATGTTTACAGTGCTAAAATAACTAAACATAGTAGTCGATAAATGAAAAACATAACTTTATTTGTTTTATTTAATATAAAAATCATGCAGAACTTTTTAATTTAACCCAATTGCGACTGAGCTAACAACAGCTACATGACTCCACTTAAAATAAAGAACTAGAATCATGATCAATTGAAAGAGTATAAAATAAAAACTACTAGTCAGAATTTTAAAAACAAGACTTTGTTTTTTTTTTGTCTAAGAATTGACTTTTAGAATATCTAAAAACTTTAAAAAAATTTTGTTTATCTTAGTTACGTGATCAAATTATATTATGTTAAAATTAACAAAAATATATAGTTTCTTTATGTGAACTTAAACAAACAAACAAAAAAAGTAATAGTTATCTATATCATTTTTGATATTAAATTAATGAAGTCTTTATATTGATGATCAAAAAAAATAGTTATCCACCATTATCATTGGATAGTTCAGTTGGTTAGAGCGTCAAAAAAGTTTAAACCCGGACAGTTGTAAGATATGAGTTCAAATCCCGCCACCGCCAACTCAGCACTTGAGTGGTATTTTGGTACGCAAAATGCTGGTCAATAACGGACGCAACTTTGGATCAGTCTTAATGACTATTGTGGCTGTTCCTATGCTGAGCCAACAATATCTTCGGATATAAGAACATTGTATAGAAAAATATAGCATGAAAATTCAAATAAAAAAAATTGAAAAAAATATAAATGATTTTATTTATATCAATATAATAATATCTGTTCTTCGTCATTTTCTAAAATTGATTTTTGAGCGATCTATAAATGCAATTGTTTGAAGCATTAACTAAAAAAATTATTCATAATTCAAAGACATTTTTAAAGTTTTTCATAATTGCTATAAATATTTTGAAATATGTAAAATTGTTTATCCATCGTCCTGCTGGTTACTCGTCATTTAGATACAAATTTTATAAACCGCCATACGGGTCACGCGTCACGAAAGGGTTAAATTTATAAACTAAATATTCAAAGCTTTGGACTTGTGTCCTTAATGGAATGTCGGTTTTATTTTAAGTATATCTTAAAAACCAATACCCCCTCCTTTTTCGTGACGTAATTCGTGGACTATGATTATTCGATGTGTAAACTTTTAAATGGTATATATAAAAACTTTTTTAATCTAAAAAAAAGACTGTGTATAGAATAGCATTTCCTATTTACCGTGACATCAAAACATTTTAAAAGCGACGCATTAAAGCACTTAATCAAATTTAACAAAACGTTAGATTTACACAAAATTTGATAGACGTCCAAGATAAATATAAGATATAAGTTGAGATACATACCCATAGCCATTAGACTTGTAGTAACAATAGTACATACAACATGTTACAAGTGTTATAATACATTAAAATTATGGATTAGTAAAACTTTTTAAACATATATCAAAATAATTCTTTAGCTAAAAAAATAATACTTGTAAAGGTGAAAAGTTGCAGCCTGTGAAAGTAATATTAAATAAAAAAAAAAAAAAAAAAAAGGAAACTTTGAGCAGTTTTTCAAATAAAACAAAAATCCATTCTTATTCTGTCGCTAATTTTTCAAATTAATTGGGATAAAAAAAGTATAAATTAAAAAAAATGTATTATTATTTAAAAATGTAATGATTTTAAAGCTAAATTCACATCTTATTGCATTGATTTATTTTTAATTAAATGCAATAAGAGTAAAAAAAAACTTTTAAAAAGAGAACCACCAAAGTTTTATTTCGAGTAAAATAAGGTAATAAGTTATTCGTTACAAACTATATTCGAACAGATATATTGACTGTTAAAAACAGAATTTATACAGTGTTTAAAGAAGTTTCAGAATAATCATAATCCAAAAGCTTTCAGAGTTCAGAAACATAATTACATTTGAGTCTTACAAGAAATAGTCTGGGGTTCGCCTAGTAACATGAGGTTCTCCTCTTCGAGGAGCAGGATCAAATTGCAAGAATGAATATTTAAGTGCATCGTCGAGTTCCATCAGCGCAGCTTGATTACCACATCGATAACAGTAGTTGGGAGCACTAAATATAGTTACAACGTTCCGATCATGACACCAATTATATCCCTGAAGGTAAAAATAAAATTATTTATAATTAACATAAAATTAACGAACTTTGAAAAAGTAAAAATTAACAACGTTAAAAAAGATAAGATATATATTTTTTTACCTCCATAACAAGTTGATGGGCCCTTGCTATAAGTGTAAGTCCGTTAGTATGATTAAATGTTTCAGATATATCTTGTCCAAATGTGTATCCAGCACCACGTGGTGATATACCCCAACCTCCCCTGTCATCAGGGTCACTCCACAAAAGATCACACATCGGGCCCTAATACAAATATAAACTATAAATTAAAAACGTCGAGCTGCAAAAAAAGTGTTTTTGTCTTCAAACAATGCCAAAAATTAACTTTCTTATCTACAAACAATATTCACAATAAACTTTCTTGTTAACAAAAAAAAAAAAATTAATTTTTATATATTATAAAATAAGTAAACTAAATTTAAACAGTATAAATAATTTACTTCATGGGGTACTTCTTGAAGTCTGTCTAATGCTCTGATATGATCGAGAGTATCTATTGACGGCGACAAACCTCCATGCAAACAAAATATCTAAAGATTAAGTTAATATTCAAATTAAAACACCCACAGACTACTGTGGATTTAAAACATATTTCTTAAACACTTTAATTTAGTATCTAAAAAAAAAAAAAAAATAATAATAATAATAATTCCTAAATGCTATTATAAATCTCCTTTATACTTAGATATTGCCCAAACCATAACCCTTAGATGTACATGTACTGAAATCTATCTAGCTGTATGTGTATCCTGATTTCAGTATAACATCATCAGTTACATTTGTATGGAGACCTGATTTAGTAAAGGTTATAAATCACCTCAACTTGTAGTTGCTCTCTCGGCCTTGGGGAGGCGGAGAAAAAAAAAGCAAAAAAACTTAAGGAACCTATTCTATTTTATGTCTATTTTAAATGAGCTGATCACTGCTCCTGTACCCATTTACTTATAGCAATTTGTGTATAGAATTTAATCAGAATAAAGAATTCTAAAAAACCTATAATTTAAATCATAATTTTGTAATAAATATAAATATGAATACACATTGTTAAAAAAAAAAGTAAATTATAAAAAATAGTTGCATCATTATAAGAACCAATATAAATATGACAACAATATTTCATACAGGGCTTAAAAAAGATTTGTAGAGGTAGAGAATGGAATCAGGAGTAAGAAAATAGTGATACACCATATGAAGCAAGCTTATAGAGAAAATCAGCATGCAGAACTTTATTTCAAACTTTAAATATGTCAAGAACAATAGTGCATACTTCATTGCCTTAACCTGATGCACAATAAAATCTTTCAATCATAGCAGTTAGTAAGTCAGCCGTAGGGCTAGAAAGGTTGAAAACAGTATTGACTGTCTGACAGTAAGTTATTTTAGTATTATTAAAATTTTTGTTTAAGTGACATCAATTATCATGTATATGCTTATAATTATTACAACAATTTTTATTAGCCTTTTTTAACTACTTATTATTATTATTTACATTTTTTATTTACACTGTTATTATTATTTATTTATTATTAAACTATCATCGAATATGCACCAAATAACAAATAAGAAGACTCAAACCAAAGCTGATGACCTAGTAGCTTCTTTGTAAGATTTAGCTGTGTTTTCATAACAAATCAATCTTTCACATCAGAAATATATGGGACTGAATGCTTGAAAAAGCAACTTTTTCCTTTAATTAAAAAGCACAAACAACCAACTTTATTTTGGCCAGATCTGGTATCGATCTACTATTCCAAAAAAGTTATGCAGTGTTATAAGAAAAAAAATCAATTTTGTTTCAAGGATGCTAATCCAGCATAGGTGGATTAAATAGTGTTAAAAATTTCTGAGATTTATGGATTGTTACAAATCCATAAATCTCAGAAATTCTGAGATTTACGGATTGTTATATCTCCACAGTTTTAATTTGCTTCAAAAGTGAAGCAAATTAAAATGATGATGATGCAAATTAAAATTAAGATGATGGGGGTGATGATACTTTATAAAAAATTACTTGCATGTCGTAAAGGCTTTATTTATTTAACGTGGTAATATTAAAATTAAGTGAAAAAATGTACCTGACCATTTTTGAGGGTTTGCTAATTGAAAATTTTAATGAAAGTAACCTGATTTAAACTTTCTGATGATGAAGACAAATTTTCTGTTTTGTTACTTTTTTTTTTTTTTTTTTCAATTTTTATTTCAACAAAAGTAATACCTCTGTTGAAATAAAAATTATGTTAACATCATTATATAAAAAAAAAATCATTACAATTAAGTGGTTTTTGAGAAAACTCAATTTAAAATCGTCTAAATTTCAACTGATCATGGTGATATATAAGAATGTATTATGTAAGTATATATAAGTAAATTGTATATATGTATGTATAGTATGCAACCCTCAAAATTATGAAAAATGAGGCCGGCAATAATTTGCTGACCTCAATCTTTTTGAGGTTGGCATCAGGTCGGCAAAAATTAATTGATACAAATCTCTGACCATAAAACATAGAAACGAGGTTGGCAATTTTTGCCGACCACAAGCACTTTTAGGTCGGCAGTTAGGTTGGCATTAAGGAATGCCGACCCTAATTCCGAGGGTTGAGTATGTGAGTATATAAGTATATATTATGTAAGTATATACAAGTATTTATGTATGTTAGTATATGTAAGTATTTATGTAAGTGTATATAAGTATCTATTATGCAAGTATATATAAGTATTTATGTATGTAAGTATATAAAAATGTATTATGTAAGTATATAAGTATTTTTATATGTGAGTATATAAGTATGTATTATGTAAGTATATATATGTATTTATGTATGTTAGTATATATAAGAATTTATGTATGTAAGTATATAAGTATGATGATAAGTATAGAAGGCCTGGTAAGAAAGACTATGTTAGTATTGAAAAAAAAAAAAAAAAAAAAAAAAAACATATCATAAAAATTGATTTTGTGTAACCTTAAGGAGAACTATGCAGCATATAAGATAAAGTACCCATGAAATCAGATGTCCAAATTTTGTATTTTTTGACTTGAATGGTATATTCTTGCTAGTTTAAAAGGTATACATTCTATTTGGGAGTGTACAATACACCAAAATGTGAAATTGCTTTAAAAGGTCTTTCTATGAAATCATTAAAATGTTTGTCTGCAGCAGAGAATCAGAAGTTTGCACGATTCATAAATGCAACAGTTATCCTGGAGTAGAAGCTGCCTAAAAATGTTTACAACAGTATCTGAGACAAAACAATGATCTAGAAAATTAATATGAAAGTGACAACAGTGACAAAAGTGTTTATGGAATTCAAACAAAAAAGATAGAATTGATATATTACCAATAAAGCTTCCATTTGATGATTTCATAGATATATTACCAATAAAGCTTCCATTTGATGATTTCATAGAGCTTCTGTTCAAAAAATTTCTGCCTAATAAATTTTTTTATTTTTTTATTGGAAAATGACAATCAAGCCACCTATGCATCTCAAAGAGATACTTAGTCAAATGAGGCAAGTCCAGGCAAATTTTGCAGAGAGCTACACTTTTATAGAACAACATGAGTTATATTACTATTGAAAGAAACATTATTTCCTATATTAAATTGTCATTTATTAAAGGAAAGAAAAATCAGAGGCAACTTGGTGCTTTATTGGTTACTTGATGGCTTTGTTGGCTTATTTGAGGCTAAAGATTTAAAACATGATGTTGGATTAATCAATAAAGTTATGCACTAAACTATTTACCAAATAAAAACTTTGATACTTAGATTAAAAAAAGTTTTATAAAATAAATTTAACTAACTGTATAATGTCTTGGAATATTTTTAAATTTAAAGTGCTCTGTAAAGTTGAGACGCTAAATAAAATTTGTAAGTTCTTTATATTGTTTTGTTTTGTTTTAACGTCAATTGTATAGAATAAATCTAAATTTAAGAAAACTTGCTGGTGTACTATATAGTAAAAATTAATTTGTCCCACAATTACAATAGGTTGTTATTTTTCTGATGGCTGTGCAGGATGGTATAAAAACTGGGAATCTTTTACTATTTATACCGCCATGGTGAAAATTAATAGATAGGAACACGATTGCGATGGCTAGCTTGGCAGAGCCCAGCCCCGGGTCAAATAAACATGTGTGTTAAAGCAATATTTGAATACTGTCAAAAGTCAATCAGTTGGATCACGTTTGGGAATGTCACTGCTGAAGAAATGGAGCTAGTATGAAACCAACTTATTGATAGCTTTTCTATAGCAATGACTGTAACTGGGACAAGAAGTTTCTAATTTATTTACACTTTATATAAAGATAAAAAGATTATCAGATAATTATGAGTTAGCTCTAAATTTGACCTCATAAAAAAAAAAAATGAAACTGTTTGAATCAACCATGTTATAATATCAAAATAAATACTTTGTAAATACAACAAACTTTACTGGATAGGTTTGGTTTCTGATAATGATAAAGAGTATGATGATTTTATAATAAAGTTTATCCACATTATTTAAGTTAATCCTGCTGCCAAAACTGGGATGATAATTTTTGGGCCTAAGTATGACACTACTTTTATTAACACACCATCATTATCTTGATATCAATACCACATCTTAAAATAATGCAACCTCTAATTAAAGAGCTTTTATCTTTTTAGTGAAATTTCTCTAATATTTCTTATTTTTATTTTATAAAATGCTTTTTTCATTTTTAAAATGATATATTCTTATTTCATTAACTTATTTCATAAACCATAACTTATTTCATAAACCATTTGCTTATTCAAACTTTTTTGTTTTTGTTTTTCCTGTTTTGCTTTTTTCTCTCCTGAAACAGATTTTGTACTCTTTTTCAAAAAGTTTTTAGCTTAAATTTTTTATTTTATAACCAAGTATTTGAGATTTCCCATATATTTGGTTTTAAACATTCAACAAGCAAGAGTAGTTTATCATAATATAATAGCTTTTGTATTAAAATTTTATATTGAAAAGTAAAAATATTAAACTGCTTTGAATAAAATAAATCTTTTTAAATCTTTAAAAAAATTTGAAATTTTTTATAAATAAAGTATACACTTATAACTAAATAGTTAAAAAACTAAAAATATACCTGTCCATCTACAAGAGCTGTAAGCGGTAGATAATCAAATAAATCAGTAAAATATTTCCATACATTAGCATTTCCATATTTACGTAAGCATTCATCATAAAAACCATACACTTGTGTTATTTGGCGACTTTCATGATTCCCTCTTAGTATAGTTATGCGTCCAGGGTACCTTACCTATTAAAAAAAGAAATCAAAATATTTAATAGATTCAAGAACATAAATTTTTTACATATACCTTATTTAAACAGTTACCTTTTTTATCTAAAATTTAAGTTGTATATGCTTGTAAGTTGAGAGTATGGAAACAATAATGCTAATAAGTTGTAAATGTTTGTAAGCGGAGAGTACGGTAATGATAGTGCTTATAAGACATGATTTATTTAACGATATATAACATGCTATGGTATAAAACATTAGAATAAAGCAAATAAAAATACTTAATATTAAAATCTAAGCAATTATTGACAGTGGTCATTTGTATAATACTTAATAATTGCTACTCATTATAAAAAACAAAACGTACAATGTAGCTTTATATATATATATATATATATATATATATATATATATATATATATATATATATATATATATATATATATATATATATATATATATATATATATATATATATATATATATATATATATATATATATATATATATATATATATATATATGTGTGTGTGTATATATATATATATATATATATATATATATATATATATATATATATATATATATTTGTGTGTATATATATACACACAAATATATATATATATTTAGTCTTGTACGACCACAAAAACATTTTTCAAGTTAGAGAACGTGATCACAGCCATTTGCGCAAGTTATATTATATGCGTTACTGAAAAATTGTTTTAAATTTAATAACTAAATAAGAAATTAAAGTAAACTTAAATAGAAAACAATAATAATAGTTTAAATAATTTATGTGTTGCTTTTATTTTTGTTTTTTCTTAGTGGTTATTACTATCGGCAACAAAATTCATTAAGTCAAAGAAAAAAAGAAAAAAAAAATGTTTTAGGCATAAAAAAGGATGACTTTCCCATATTTTATGTGATTTTTCTTTTAAAGAGAAAAGAGAAAATATGTATCGTCATCTGTTGGTAAAATATATTTGTATAATTATAATGTAACAAGTTTATATCAAGAGTTAAATTATACGATCGCGATTTGCAAACTCTGGTAAAATATTAGGTCTTTAAAATTAAAGTTTATGCAAAGCTGTGTACTTTGTTTATAAGGAGCAAATTATTAAAAGTTTGCTAGCGAGAAAGTTACAAAAAACAAAACAAAAACAATAAACTTACGACTACAAAAGTAATAACACTTTAGTCACTAACTGCATTATAAAAAGCAATAAAACTATAATAGTGTTATTACATTTATAAAGCACTTATTACTTTTAAAGTTCATTCTTTGTTTAAACAACATTATTAATTCCAAACATTTATTAAAGTAGAAAAGCATCTAGAAAAAATAAAGCGGATATTCAAATATTATTAAAAGTTTTAGGAACTTTCACATATCACTTAAACAACATTATAAAAAAGTACTTTATAAAAGGTATAGCCTTACGAAAAACGTTTCGTAAAAATGCGCGTTAATTTTAAAATCCACCAATAAAAAATTTTTATTGGTTAATTTTAAAATTAATGCGCGTTTTTACGGTCTATTAGTGACGTTTTTCATAATGCTAAATTTTTAATACGATACATTTTCATAAAGTTTTTATAAGTTACTTTAGTTTTAATATTATTTGAACATCCACTTTATTCTTCTAGATATTTTTCTACTTAAATTAAAATTTGGGAATACTAATGTTGCTTGAACATAGAATGAATTTTAAAAGTTATAAGTGCGTTATAAAAGTAATAACACTATTATAGTGTTATTACTTTTGTAATGCAGTTAGTGACTAGAGCGTTATTACTTTTGTAATTGTAAGTTTATTGGTTTTATTTTTTATTTTTTCGCTAACAAATTTAAGTTGATTCTCCCTTAAAAACAAGTAACATGGCTTTGTATAAACTAAAATTTTGAATATTAGATACTTTTCCAAAATATGCGTTCTGCATTCGCTTAATTTAACCCTTGTTGTTACATTAAAATTATACAAATAAATTTTACAAACACATTACAATTTGTTTTTTTGCTATTCTCTTAAAAAAAATTAAGAAAAGGAAAATCATTCTTTTTATTGTAGGCTTCAAACTGTTTTTTTTTTTTGCTTCGCCTTATCTAATTTTGTTGCTGAATGTAACTCTAAAGAAACAAAAATAAAAACAGTACACAAGTTATTTAAATTATTAATTTGTTTTTATTTTTTTCTATTTTAATCTCTTTTTATTTTGTTAGTTTTGTTTTTTTGTTTGTGAAACTTTTTCAGCATTATTATAAAACTTGCAAATGGCCGTGTTCACGTTTTCTAAAACATTATAATCGCGCGTGGTCATACAAGACGAAAAACCGCACGCCTTTCCTGGGAAGGCTTGGTTAATATATATATATATATATATATATATATATATATATATATATATATATATATATATATATATATATATATATATATATATATATATATATATATATATATATATATATATATATATATATATATATATATATATATATAAAGAGAGAGTATATATATTATATATATACTCTCTCTTTATATATATATATATATATATATATATATATATATATATATATATATATATATATATATATATATATATATATATATATATATATATATATATATATATATATATATCTTTATATATATATATATATATATATATATATATATATATATATATTATCTCTTGTGACAGATAAGTCACTAATAAAAAGATAAAGTTTAAGAAGCAGACTGTAGCAGATGTTCAATATAAGAGGGAACACAATATTGAGTAAAGCCTTTTTTTTGTTTTTGAGCTATAAACTTAAAAGCCATTTCAGATGCAAGAAAACATAAGCTGTATCAATGTCATCATAAGTTTATTCATCAAGTTTATTATTATGAAAATACCTTAAAATATGACATATGACAGTACTATATAAAAATGGTTGGTATCACATACAAATTGCACTGAACACTAGACACTAGATAATTGGTCTCAAGTCTCTATTTATCGCCTGGTATCGGTCTGATACCTTACAACATCGATATCGAAACCAAGTGATACTGGTATCAAAAGTATCGTTAATGTTGGTATCGCTGCGATACCTTACAGTATCGATATTAAGATCACGTAATACTGGCATCGAAAGTATTGTTTATGTTGGTATCATTTGGTCTCGGTACAATACCTTACAGTATCAATATCGAGATCATACAATACTGGTATTGAAAGTATCGGTTATGTTGGGATCATTTGGTCTTGGTGCAATACGCAATACTAGTATCAAAAGTTATCGTTTTTGTTGGTACTTTTTGGTACCAATAGCATAAATTTAGTATTGCAACTCCGGTCATGATGAGAACTTGAGTGTTATTTTTATAAATGATAAGTAATCTGAAATAGTAAATTTGTATAATTAATGATATGTATATAACTGACTAATATATTATAAAAGAAATTCTGTAAGATGATTGTATGACATCATGTTTATCATTTAATTTCTCATTTCATGGTATCTTTGTTTTAATTTAAATAATTGTGTGGTATCACTTCTGTATCGTGATTAAAAAAAACTGGGAAAATATTTTTTTTAACATTAATTTCTATATTAAATTTTTACAAATATTTAAATTATGTTAAACAGTGTGTAAGGGGTGGACAAAAAGGTAAAATGTGGGTGGCTGGTATTCGAGGTAACTACCCCCTGCCTACCTAAGAAATGTCAAACTTCAAAATATTATTAATAAAGTTAAAAAAGTAAGAAAAAATACAAAAACTTGTATCTCAACACTTTATTATTTTTCTCAAAAAAAAGTATTTATTTGACAATTCAATATATTTATTACTAACTTATAATCTTTCTAAAATAATTCTAAATGATCACATGAAACAGTTGTTTTATTTTGAAAAAACGCAAACCTTTTTTATATATATTTTTTGGTTGGACTACCCCCTAGAACAATGACCTAGATACGCCCCTGCTGAGTGTTTCTCATATCCTTATTTCAACTCTATTGAACTTTTATTCCATTCAGGCAAAAATTTTATGTGCGGAATTAATCTCTAAGAAAATATTTTTTCAATCATTAAAGGGAGTTTTTCATAAAATTCTCATATCCTTATTTCAACTCTATTGAACTTTTATTCCATTCAGGCAAAATTTTTATGTGCGGAATTAATCTCTAAGAAAATATTTTTGCAATCATTAAAGGGAGTTTTTCATAAAATTCTCAAAGTGAATTGCTTGTGATGTAACTTTTAATGGTTATTCTAAACAAGTATTAGAAATGATTGTTCAAAGAGAATTGATTTTGTAACAATCATTACAGATATTTTAATTTAATTAATTGTGTTATATCGCATCCATATTTTAATTTTCCATCTGGTATTGTTACATAAAATAAATCTCTTGTGGTATCATAATTCTCGCCTGGTCTTTTGTTCTGTGTTCAACATTCAACAACTAAACTTTAGTTTTAAACAATTAAACATAAGTATACTTTAGTTATTAAAGAAAACTAATCCAGCATGTGTCGCATAACTACCACTTTTTTTCTAAAGGTTTTTTTTTTTAATTTAGATATAGAGGACTTTTTCTAAACATTGACTAGTGTGCCTCTCTACTTCAAAACCTGTGTCATGGGCCCTGTAATATTCACTCCCAATGCTTTTACAACATCTTTAATCTGGGATTATTTCAAGAAAAATATAGGTAAAAATATAATATAAAAAATATACTTTTATAATAAAATAATAAATTTAAATATGTATAAATAAAAATAGAAAAAAAATAATAATAATAAAAAAAAAAATATATAAATATGACAGGGCTTGAATTAAGTGATCGCGAATTGCAATATTCAGAAATATCTGTGGTCATTAAATTCGTAGTTTTTTTAAAAACACTGTTTTAATGAAACGGTCAGTTTATCATACTACGAAAATTAATGAAAAAACAAAACAATAAATTAACTGCTGCAAAAATAATGACAGTCAAAATTTACATATCGTTGGTTGCA